ACTTCATTTCATGTACTCACAACTGTAAACCTACTTTTGCCCCACCCTGTATGCAGACTATAATAGTCCCCATTTAAGAAAACTTGAGTATACAGAAACTAAACAAGTATATATTGACTATTTTTATTAAAGGTAACACTTTTAAATCCCTTTGGTAATTTAACTTACTTAATTTAAAAAATGATTAAGTCTCACATTTGCAGGGTAATTTGCATAAAGCAAAATCAAACAGTTTTACTAAATTAAACATTGAAGCATCTTTATAATGGACAACTAACTATTCCTTATTGTGACAAATGGGAAAAAATTTAGTTTTACTTCTTCAGAGGCAACAATAGTATAATTTGGCTTTAAATAAAGGTAATACTAATCCAAGAAGTCAGATATTAAAGGGACATATTCTGGAAACAATCTGTGTTCAATTTTGAAAGCATTAAAATGATTTGTTACTGTGTAAATAGCTACAGATTTATGTATGGATGAATGTATGTATCTGTTATTTGCTTTGCCTCAGAATTGACTATTAAAACTCTTTAGATGGTTAGAGAAAATCAGCCTACAAATATCAATTCAAACTTTCTTTTCACAGGATAGATTTGATAGTATTTAATAACATCAAACCAGAATAACAATTCCTTAAAACATTATGAAAATACTAGAGGCTCAGTGCATGAAAATTCATGCATGCGGGGGTGGGTGTCCCTCAGGCGGCCCGCCCCCTCTCACAGTCCAGGAGCCCTCAGGGGCGGGAGTCGACCCGGCGATCAGGGGAAGGCAACGCCCCATCACACCTCTGCTGCTGCCACTGCCAGCAGCGCAAGCCTCGGCTGGCCCTGGTTACCTGAGCCTCAGGCGGCCCTGGGCAGCTAAGTAGCCGCCATCTGAGACTTGCCTGCACCTCAGGCCGGCCCTGGGCGTCTGGGAGGCTGAGAGGACTGGGGGACTCTGGAGGCAGGTGCCCTGGGGGGGCTGAGGGGACTGGGTGCCGCCATCTTTGCAACGGCATGAGGGTCAATTAGCATATTCCCTCTTTATTAGATAGGATTATAGAGAGATGCAAAATGGGTTATATTAACTTTTTTGCTTGTCATATTACTAATACTACCAGCTACTAATTTTATTATTTCAATTTCAGAAAATTTAATAGGTAATTTTAATCCATTTCAAAGTTGGGTGCTAAACAGTTGAGTTGTTGAGAAGCTAAATAGTCCTACTCTTTCACTTAAAGTCCTCTATAAATTTGGCTGC